GTCTGGTAGTTGGTTTTTAAACTCTTCCAACGTCACCAACTCACCCAGGTCATTCAAGGTTTTTACTGCTGTAGCATGACACCACTTATCAAACAGAGTTTTCTTTTCTCTGGCAAACTCCACATAGGTCTGGTTGGCGGATTTTTTCCCATTCCTAAATCTCTGCCTGTAAGCCTCTGGCACAAGCTCGTAAGCACGCAGGACAGCAGCCTTCACCATATCATAGTCAAAACTGTCCTCCAGAGAAAGAGCGGTGCACACCTCTTGAGCTTTCCCCACCAATCTACATTGGAGTAGAAGAGACCACACATCTTTTGGCCAGTGCAGCGCACCTGCGATACGCTCAAACACTGTGAAATACGAATCCACCTCAGTTTCCCGAAACGCCGGCACCATTTTGATGTGTTTACTCGCATCAAAGCCACCACCTGGCATCAAGGCCGGTGGCTGCGGAGATGGCGACTGCGGGGATAATGACTCCGGGGAGGGTGCCTGCGGGGATGGTGACTGGATGGTGAGCCCTGATCCTCAAGTGCATAGCTTCCACCTCCAACTGCTGTTTCTTTAGCTCCACCTCCTTAATGCGCAGCGTTACCCGCAGCTCCTCCGCAGAAGGGCTAGGTGGAGAAGGGAGATTTTTCAGTGGGGCAAAAACACCAGCAACAGACACACACACAGCCTGCACTACAATGACACAACACACAACTGACCGAGTCAACGGGGTTCCAAAAAGCACTCCCAGGTGACTGTCATCCGGACGTTAAGTACTGGAGGTGGTCCATCAATTATCCAGTCCGAAGATATGTAGAGACTCCACCCAGATACCTAGCAGCCACGCCCAGGTGTCCACCTCCTAGGAGAGAAAAAAGGGAAAATACCGCCAGCCATCCTCCGGTGGGAGGCACAACACCAACAAACACATCACTGGGTCATAACAGTTTCCCCACCCAAAAAAAATCAAACATCCAACCCCACACAAAGATGTTTGATTTACGACCTAGAGAGGGCATCAGCCATAACATTCTCTAAGCTCTTATATATCGGATCTCAATGTTGAAATCCTGTAGGAGTAAGGACCAACGCATGAGGCGCTGGTTGCTGTTTTAGAAATTTTCTAGAAAAGAAACAGACTGGGTGGTCAATGCCATTTTCATCCTCCTGCACGAGCACTGCACCCGCCCCCAAAACACTGGCGTCCACCTCTGAATCCTTGGCCCCTCAGGAACCGCCCAGGGACACCAAAAGTCTCCAGATTGCGCTTTCGCTCCTCTGCCCACGTCAGTCTGAGCCCATTATCAGATGAGATGTTGTCAAAGAAAGACTTTGCTTTGTCATAGTAGCACTTTGGACCAAAATGATCCTCCCCCGAACTCAGCTGCAACCCCACCTTTTCTCTTCCCTCAGAATTCCCATCTTTTAGATTCAGCCCTCCTGTAACTTCTTCTCAAGCGCCTCCTTAATGAATTGCGCGTTGGAGGAATCAAAATCAAAGTCTGTGTCAAATTTAAGGGGTGGGAGATGGAGCATTAGCCACCATCAGCTGGCCTCTTCTGCGGTTCCTGTGCCGTCGAGGTCCTTGTCTTTTTCTAGCAGGTGGCCTGGTTTCAGCATTTTGCTGCTGACTGTCCTGAAAAGTGACTCTACTTGGGTCTGATTGCATGGTGGCTTCAGTGACCCTTGTGGTTTGAATATTTGTTCTTCTCGTCCCCTTGGGCTGCCTCCTATTCTGCTGCTGCTGTTGCTGGGATCCACTCGCACCTCTCCTCTGCCTAAATGTCTTTACACTGACGGTTTGAACAGCCTTTGATGTGGCACGATCGAAACCACTGTTATTTGTAAGTGGTATATCAACTACTTCTGGCGACGGAAAAACTGTGCCGCCAGCTAGATCGTTTCCCAAGATGATGTCAATACCTGCAACCGGTAACTGGGGTCGCACCCCAAGCTTAACCTCACCAGACAAAAACTGAGATGAAAGCTGCACCAAGTGTAAAGGAACCCGTATTACACACATCCTAACTCCCCAGGCTAACACATCCGCCCCACAACAGGATTGAGCTGAAAACGGTAAGACCCCTCACGAATGAGCGACTGTTTCGCACCAGTGTCTCGCAAAATACTGACAGGAGTCCGCCGATCTTCTCCTATCAAGGAAACAAAGCCGTTTGACACAAACGGCTTAAACTCCTTATCTACTTTATCATTTTCGGGTGCCATCACCTCCCCCAGGTAGGAGAGTTTGTCTGTAGAAGGATTATTGGGGAAGGAGATGTACCCTCCCTGGTCATTTCTTTTCTCTTCAGAGCAGGGCAAACCGCAATAAGGTGTAAGGCAGAAACACCAGCAACAGCCCCCAGCTCAACCTCCCCCGCAGGACCCGGCTCACCAAACAACCCCTTGTCCGTCAACTGGACACACAGGAACTCCCTAAGCTCTTTCTTCTTCGCAGGACGCCTGTCTTTTTCAGGCTCTTCTCCACAGGACGCCTGTCTTTTTCAGGCTCTTCTCCACAGGACGCCTGTCTTTTTCAGGCTCTTCTCCACAAGACGCCTGTCTTTTTCAGGCTCTTCTCCACAGGACGCCTGTCTTTTCAGGCTCTTCTCCACAGGACGCCTGTCTTTTTCAGGGACAATCTTCACCCACAAATTCATAAAGTCCTTGTGAAGGGTCAGTTTCTCAATGATTGTTCGCCCATGGTACCTGTGGAAGATTACAGTTGTCATTAATTTTCATTAATTGTGTAAACTCACAGAAAATAAAACATTGATGCACTTCAAACCCATTTAAAAGTACCCACCTGGCTTCAGGTGCAGCATCCCCTGCCATTCTAGAGGCAGCAATTAGAAATCTTTCAGTGAAGGTTCCTGTTTTCAGGGTGACGGCTGCTCCAAGTTTGTCAGCCAGCTGGTGCAGGTGTTGAGCCGTGCTATTCCTCACTGCAACACAGCGATGGCTGAGCAAGGACAATATTAGACACACAACTCAGTGAACATGATCTCTCTTTCATGTCTTCTAATAAAATCACTACAGCTTCTTCTCTCCTCTTACGTCAGTCCTGTGTTAAACAGAGCGCTCAGAATCCGTCCATGGCTGCAATTTTCCACCATGGCATCAAGCGCCAGATTGACCTCCTGATGTAGAAAGTTGTTGTTGGTCATTGCAAGCTTCAGCAATAGAGCTCGGCCTGTTGTTTCAACTTCTGGGTCCATTGTTCTCTGGAGCTGAATGTAGAGCTCATTGATGGCATGTATGGCCTCAAAGGCTATTGCTGAGCGTTGGTTTTTCACCTAAAATGTGAGTGAAAATCATCAGTTGAGGCTGTAGTATGCACTTGAAGGGAAACTAGCTGCATGAAACGCATATAAGAAACATAAAGTGTGCAATACCTCCTCAATGAGGACCAGACACACTTCATGTAGTTTAGTCTTCAGGATGTCCGAGTGGTGCTTTGCCAGAGACTGAATAGTTTGCAACCTGTCTTTTCTTAATCTGTATTTACACAACACAACATTGAACACGACTTCAGGAACACCACAAATAACACAGCCACATTATGCAGCACTGTTTCTGTGCAGTATTTAATGTCTCCTTACTACGTTTCTTACCAGTCGTCTGAAGACAGCAGACTAAAGCTGTGGGACAGGCTCTCTACAGGTGTAGCTACAGGCGGGAGTTTGACCCTGCTCTCTCTTGGATTATTCTGACTGCACTGACTGTCTGCTTTCTTGTCTGATAATCAACGAGGTTAGTAAAAAGAAACTGTCATTTCTTCTAATTCGAAGCATGATGCAGTGATTAATTGTTCATTAAAATCTTTTTAAAAAATCTCTTAATTTAAAGTTTGATTATTCAGCATCTTCTACAGTTACTGAGGAAAACCACTTACCGTCTATAGGGACGACTTTTGCACGGCGCAGCAGCGTCCCAGGCCGAGGTCCTCGTTTTTGCGGTATGGGAACTGTTGGAGGTTTTGGAGTCAAAGGCTTTACTGCAGTAAATGTTTTGGTTGGTACTGTGTGTCCAGGTGAGGTTACAATCCCATCCTGGAAATGCTGCAGTTTTTCCAAAATAGGCCCAAATTTGTCTTTTGCTGTCAAGACTCTTATTCCACGAATGACCTTCGTGTCTGTTTAGACAAAAAAATAACTAAATAACTACAAATTGACATCTTACAAAAACAACAATAAACATTTTTCTTCCTGATTTTTTTTTTCTTCAAAAAAGCATATAAAATGAATGGACAGCAAGAATGTGTAATTTAGCATTAAAATAGATAATCTACAGTGTCAAATTTTAAAATCTAAACTAACTGATTAACAGCAGGTGTAACCACTAAAGAAAAGCATCACCTTTGAACCGACCTGCTCCTGAATGTTTAGCAGAGAAAACAGGCAATTGCGATGGACAAGCTGCTCGAGGAGGTGGAGGAACTGGAGTGAGCGGTGTCATCTCAACAGGACTAACAATGAAAGGAATGGCCCTCAGATCACTTGGTGTGTGTGTGTCTGCAGAGCTGAGGCTACTCAGACTTCTTTCAGGGTCCTCCTGATTCCAAAAGGGGTCATCCAAACAGTTCCAGCTTCCCTGGACTATCTCTGGAGAGCCTGCGCATTGCTCAGGTAAAGGTGGGAGTTGCACAGCATAACCTCTGGGTCTCTGTGCGATATGCAATGTGTCTGCCTGTTGAAAGAACACATTTGTCTTACTGCTCTGAGCTTTGTGAAAGTCCAGGATCCTGGACTCTGTGGTGAAGCGCTGACAGTTGCTCTGTCTACAGTGACTTACACAAAAATTACACTGTGCAAAGCAGCAAAATATAACACATCTCTCAGAAACATTTACATTTGATCAGCAGAGAAGTCAAGAATGAGTATGTTTAGTTACTTACATCTCCACCTGTGCGTCCCCTTGTCCGTCAACTGGACACACAGGAACTCCCTAAGCTCTTTCTTCTTCGCAGGACGCCTGTCTTTTCAGGCTCTTCTCCACAAGACGCCTGTCTTTTTCAGGCTCTTCTCCACAGGACGCCTGTCTTTTTCAGGCTCTTCTCCACAGGACGCCTGTCTTTTTCAGGCTCTTCTCCACAGGACGCCTGTCTTTTTCAGGGACAATCTTCACCCACAAATTCATAAAGTCCTTGTGAAGGGTCAGTTTCTCAATGATTGTTCGCCCATGGTACCTGTGGAAGATTACAGTTGTCATTAATTTTCATTAATTGTGTAAACTCACAGAAAATAAAACATTGATGCACTTCAAACCCATTTAAAAGTACCCACCTGGCTTCAGGTGCAGCATCCCCTGCCATTCTAGAGGCAGCAATTAGAAATCTTTCAGTGAAGGTTCCTGTTTTCAGGGTGACGGCTGCTCCAAGTTTGTCAGCCAGCTGGTGCAGGTGTTGAGCCGTGCTATTCCTCACTGCAACACAGCGATGGCTGAGCAAGGACAATATTAGACACACAACTCAGTGAACATGATCTCTCTTTCATGTCTTCTAATAAAATCACTACAGCTTCTTCTCTCCTCTTACGTCAGTCCTGTGTTAAACAGAGCGCTCAGAATCCGTCCATGGCTGCAATTTTCCACCATGGCATCAAGCGCCAGATTGACCTCCTGATGTAGAAAGTTGTTGTTGGTCATTGCAAGCTTCAGCAATAGAGCTCGGCCTGTTGTTTCAACTTCTGGGTCCATTGTTCTCTGGAGCTGAATGTAGAGCTCATTGATGGCATGTATGGCCTCAAAGGCTATTGCTGAGCGTTGGTTTTTCACCTAAAATGTGAGTGAAAATCATCAGTTGAGGCTGTAGTATGCACTTGAAGGGAAACTAGCTGCATGAAACGCATATAAGAAACATAAAGTGTGCAATACCTCCTCAATGAGGACCAGACACACTTCATGTAGTTTAGTCTTCAGGATGTCCGAGTGGTGCTTTGCCAGAGACTGAATAGTTTGCAAGCCGTGTCTTTTCTTAATCCTGTATTTACACAACACAACATTGAACACGACTTCAGGAACACCACAAATAACACAGCCACATTATGCAGCACTGTTTCTGTGCAGTATTTAATGTCTCCTTACTACGTTTCTTACCAGTCGTCTGAAGACAGCAGACTAAAGCTGTGGGACAGGCTCTCTACAGGTGTAGCTACAGGCGGGAGTTTGACCCTGCTCTCTCTTGGATTATTCTGACTGCACTGACTGTCTGCTTTCTTGTCTGATAATCAACGAGGTTAGTAAAAAGAAACTGTCATTTCTTCTAATTCGAAGCATGATGCAGTGATTAATTGTTCATTAAAATCTTTTTAAAAAATCTCTTAATTTAAAGTTTGATTATTCAGCATCTTCTACAGTTACTGAGGAAAACCACTTACCGTCTATAGGGACGACTTTTGCACGGCGCAGCAGCGTCCCAGGCCGAGGTCCTCGTTTTTGCGGTATGGGAACTGTTGGAGGTTTTGGAGTCAAAGGCTTTACTGCAGTAAATGTTTTGGTTGGTACTGTGTGTCCAGGTGAGGTTACAATCCCATCCTGGAAATGCTGCAGTTTTTCCAAAATAGGCCCAAATTTGTCTTTTGCTGTCAAGACTCTTATTCCACGAATGACCTTCGTGTCTGTTTAGACAAAAAAATAACTAAATAACTACAAATTGACATCTTACAAAAACAACAATAAACATTTTTCTTCCTGATTTTTTTTTTCTTCAAAAAAGCATATAAAATGAATGGACAGCAAGAATGTGTAATTTAGCATTAAAATAGATAATCTACAGTGTCAAATTTTAAAATCTAAACTAACTGATTAACAGCAGGTGTAACCACTAAAGAAAAGCATCACCTTTGAACCGACCTGCTCCTGAATGTTTAGCAGAGAAAACAGGCAATTGCGATGGACAAGCTGCTCGAGGAGGTGGAGGAACTGGAGTGAGCGGTGTCATCTCAACAGGACTAACAATGAAAGGAATGGCCCTCAGATCACTTGGTGTGTGTGTGTCTGCAGAGCTGAGGCTACTCAGACTTCTTTCAGGGTCCTCCTGATTCCAAAAGGGGTCATCCAAACAGTTCCAGCTTCCCTGGACTATCTCTGGAGAGCCTGCGCATTGCTCAGGTAAAGGTGGGAGTTGCACAGCATAATCTCTGGGTCTCTGTGCGATATGCAATGTGTCTGCCTGTTGAAAGAAACATTTGTCTTACTGCTCTGAGCTTTGTGAAAGTCCAGGATCCTGGACTCTGTGGTGAAGCGCTGACAGTTGCTCTGTCTACAGTGACTTACACAAAAATTACACTGTGCAAAGCAGCAAAATATAACACATCTCTCAGAAACATTTACATTTGATCAGCAGAGAAGTCAAGAATGAGTATGTTTAGTTACTTACATCTCCACCTGTGCGCTTTCTCTGAATCAAATCTTCAAAGCGATGGAAAAAGTTATCTGATGTCTTTTTAGACATGCCTGAGATAAAAAGTGAACAAATTGTTTAGAAATAGAAAGTTAGTGAGTGCTGCTCAGTGTGTGAGTGGCAAGTTCTAACTGAGCTGCTCAGTAAATAACTGTTATGATGTGGAACTCACAGAGCATTTTTTGAAAATATTCATATATATACACTATTTTGTGTTTACAAAAATATCAGACATGTCTAAATCAAAGGCAGCTTATGATCTCTAATTATGATCTTTAATCAACAAATTTAAATAGACGTCCTAATCACAGCTTCTAAAACTAGACAACACTATACTGATAAATTCATATAAAACAGCAAAAAGGAGATAAAAGCACTGTCATAAATAGAGAAATAAGTACAGTAAATAAATAAATACAGTTTTTAAAAATATAGAAAAAAAACATGTGTCATTTGTTACAACGACACAAAATAGCAGCTTGGACAAAGCTGTTTCTTCAAGCTTCGCCTGCATTTAGGGGCTGCAAACCTCTGTCCCACAGGAAGAAGCTGAAATCCTCCAATAAGGGGTGGGAGTCATTTAAAGTAGAGTAACTCATCCTCTACAACTGCCTAGTATTCAAGGACTCTATGTTAAGATGCTCTAACATGGTACAGTACCTTCAGAAACGCCCCAAATTTCTTACATACTGAAAATTAAATCTCTTCTCAGGAACCTTTTCTCCATTCAGTAGAAGTAGATCTAGTATTCATTTTAAAGTTCTAATGAAGACAGCAGACTAAAGCTGTGGGACAGGCTCTCTACAGGTGTAGCTACAGGCGGGAGTTTGACCCTGCTCTCTCGGATTATTCTGACTGCACTGACTGTCTGCTTTCTTGTCTGATAATCAACGAGGTTAGTAAAAAGAAACTGTCATTTCTTCTAATTCGAAGCATGATGCAGTGATTAATTGTTCATTAAAATCTTTTTAAAAAATCTCTTAATTTAAAGTTTGATTATTCAGCATCTTCTACAGTTACTGAGGAAAACCACTTACTGTCTATAGGGACGACTTTTGCACGGGGCAGCAGCGTCCCAGGCCGAGGTCCTCGTTTTTGCGGTATGGGAACTGTTGGAGGTTTTGGAGTCAAAATAGGCCCAAATTTGTCTTTTGCTGTCAAGACTCTTATTCCACGAATGAACTTCGTGTCTGTTTAGACAAAAAAATAACTAAATAACTACAAATTGACATCTTACAAAAACAACAATAAACATTTTTCTTCCTGATTTTTTTTCTTCAAAAAAGCATATAAAATGAATGGACAGCAAGAATGTGTAATTTAGCATTAAAATAGATAATCTACAGTGTCAAATTTTAAAATCTAAACTAACTGATTAACAGCAGGTGTAACCACTAAAGAAAAGCATCACCTTTGAACCGCAATTGCGATGGACAAGCTGCTCGAGGAGGTGGAGGAACTGGAGTGAGCGGTGTCATCTCAACAGGACTAACAATGAAAGGAATGGCCCTCAGATCACTTGGTGTGTGTGTGTCTGCAGAGCTGAGGCTACTCAGACTTCTTTCAGGGTCCTCCTGATTCCAAAAGGGGTCATCCAAACAGTTCCAGCTTCCTGGACTATCTCTGGAGAGCCTGCGCATTGCTCAGGTAAAGGTGGAGTTGCACAGCATAATCTCTGGGTCTCTGTGCGATATGCAATGTGTCTGCCTGTTGAAAGAATACATTTGTCTTACTGCTCTGAGCTTTGTGAAAGTCCAGGATCCTGGACTCTGTGGTGAAGCGCTGACAGTTGCTCTGTCTACAGTGACTTACACAAAAATTACACTGTGCAAAGCAGCAAAATATAACACATCTCTCAGAAACATTTACATTTGATCAGCAGAGAAGTCAAGAATGAGTATGTTTAGTTACTTACATCTCCACCTGTGCGCTTTCTCTGAATCACATCTTCAAAGCGATGGAAAAAGTTATCTGATGTCTTTTTAGACATGCCTGAGATAAAAAGTGAACAAATTGTTTAGAAATAGAAAGTTAGTGAGTGCTGCTCAGTGTGTGAGTGGCAAGTTCTAACTGAGCTGCTCAGTAAATAACTGTTATGATGTGGAACTCACAGAGCATTTTTTGAAAATATTCATATATATACACTATTTTGTGTTTACAAAAATATCAGACATGTCTAAATCAAAGGCAGCTTATGATCTCTAATTATGATCTTTAATCAACAAATTTAAATAGACGTCCTAATCACAGCTTCTAAAACTAGACAACACTATACTGATAAATTCATATAAAACAGCAAAAAGGAGATAAAAGCACTGTCATAAATAGAGAAATAAGTACAGTAAATAAATAAATACAGTTTTTAAAAAATACAGAAAAAAAACATGTGTCATTTGTTACAACGACCACAAAATAGCAGCTTGGACAAAGCTGTTTCTTCAAGCTTCGCCTGCATTTAGGGGCTGCAAACCTCTGTCCCACAGGAAGAAGCTGAAATCCTCCAATAAGGGGTGGGAGTCATTTAAAGTAGAGTAACTCATCCTCTACAACTGCCTAGTATTCAAGGACTCTATGTTAAGATGCTCTAACATGGTACAGTACCTTCAGAAACGCCCCAAATTTCTTAGATACTGAAAATTAAATCTCTTCTCAGGAACCTTTTCTCCATTCAGTAGAAGTAGATCTAGTATTCATTTTAAAGTTCTAATGAAGACAGCAGACTAAAGCTGTGGGACAGGCTCTCTACAGGTGTAGCTACAGGCGGGAGTTTGACCCTGCTCTCTCGGATTATTCTGACTGCACTGACTGTCTGCTTTCTTGTCTGATAATCAACGAGGTTAGTAAAAAGAAACTGTCATTTCTTCTAATTCGAAGCATGATGCAGTGATTAATTGTTCATTAAAATCTTTTTAAAAATCTCTTAATTTAAAGTTTGATTATTCAGCATCTTCTACAGTTACTGAGGAAAACCACTTACTGTCTATAGGACGACTTTTGCACGGGCAGCAGCGTCCCAGGCCGAGGTCCTCGTTTTTGCGGTATGGAACTGTTGGAGGTTTGGAGTCAAAATAGGCCCAAATTTGTCTTTTGCTGTCAAGACTCTTATTCCACGAATGAACTTCGTGTCTGTTTAGACAAAAATAACTAAATAACTACAAATTGACATCTTACAAAAACAACAATAAACATTTTTCTTCCTGATTTTTTTTCTTCAAAAAGCATATAAAATGAATGGACAGCAAGAATGTGTAATTTAGCATTAAAATAGATAATCTACAGTGTCAAATTTTAAAATCTAAACTAACTGATTAACAGCAGGTGTAACCACTAAAGAAAGCATCACCTTTGAACCGCAATTGCGATGGACAAGCTGCTCGAGGAGGTGGAGGAACTGGAGTGAGCGGTGTCATCTCAACAGGACTAACAATGAAAGGAATGGCCCTCAGATCACTTGGTGTGTGTGTGTCTGCAGAGCTGAGGCTACTCAGACTTCTTTCAGGGTCCTCCTGATTCCAAAAGGGGTCATCCAAACAGTTCCAGCTTCTCTGGACTCTCTGTGGAGAGCCTGCGCATTGCTCAGGTAAAGGTGGGAGATGCACAGCATAATCTCTGGGTCTCTGTGCGATATGCAATGTGTCTGCCTGTTGAAAGAACACATTTGTCTTACTGCTCTGAGCTTTGTGAAAGTCCAGGATCCTGGACTCTGTGGTGAAGCGCTGACAGTTGCTCTGTCTACAGTGACTTACACAAAAATTACACTGTGCAAAGCAGCAAAATATAACACATCTCTCAGAAACATTTACATTTGATCAGCAGAGAAGTCAAGAATGAGTATGTTTAGTTACTTACATCTCCACCTGTGCGCTTTCTCTGAATCAAATCTTTAAAGCGATGGAAAAAGTTATTTGATGTCTTTTCAGACATGCCTGAGATAAAAAGTGAACAAATTGTTTAGAAATAGAAAGTTAGTGAGTGCTGCTCAGTGTGTGAGTGGCAAGTTCTAACTGAGCTGCTCAGTAAATAACTGTTATGATGTGGAACTCACAGAGCATTTTTGAAATATTCATATATATACACTATTTGTGTTTACATGGCAACGGGAGGAAACAACCCGGCAAAATAACACATGACAGCGAGATAAATTTATATTGGCATGTGTATTCAGAGTGTTACCACTATTCTAGGATTTCTATTGTCAGAATAATATTTGTGACTTTAGACCTTTATTTAAACTGTAGACTTGCTTGAACTTAAGAAAGTAGAAGGTTGGTTTGTTATGCTTCAAGGTTGGATTTTATTAATGAAAACATTAAAGGGAAAAATGTTAACAAGCAAACAAACCTTACTAAAAATGTTCATGTTATTCATTGCATTATACAACATAGTGAAGAAAGCTGCAAGCTTGACTAAAATTCAAGTATTAGAGAGCTCCATTAGCATCTAGTCTGGCTTCACTCTACAAGCCAGGACAGGTTTGCGTGACTGGAGGCTCAGACTGTGTATGCAACCCATAAAACTGGATGGAGCATTGTTTGACATATAATATTAATTCAGCAGTGGAGTTCTCTGCCAGGGCATGACTGACATTTATGAACATCGCTGTGAGGCATTTTATCACTATTGGAGCCATATAGAAAATATTGCAGCTCCTCTCCCTGTCAGATAATGGCACTAATTTCACCAGCATGGTTTAAACCTCTGTGACTGCTGAAGGGCAAGAATTACTGGTTCTTTGTGCGTCTTAATCCTTACCAAATAATGAGAAAAAGTCTGTCATTTTTCACGGCTTATAATTCAAAAGGTGGGCTTTTTCAAACCCCACATTAAAACAAATGTTTCTTTTTTGGCATGTATTCATTTATTTATTTATTTTTGATGCATCATTCCAAAGTAGTTATGCAATATAGAAAAAAATCTGCAATGAGGTAACCAAGAAGGTCACCAAGGGACAGTCGCCATGGCATTTTGTCCTGATTGTGTCAAGAGCGTGGCTGTAAGCATAAAGGAAGAAAAATTCCATCCATCCATTCGCTTCCGCTTATCCTTTTCAGGTCGCGGGGGTCACTGGAGCCTATCCCAGCTGTCATAGGGCAAGAGGCAGGGTACACCCTGGACAGGTCGCCAGTCTATCGCAGGGCTAACACATAGGGACAGACAACCATTCGCACTCACATTCATTTGCACATTCACACCTAGTGACAATTTGGATTATCCAATTAGAGGCTTGTTGCTACCTAGTTAGCGATGCTACACACCTGTTACTGTGTATTTTTCAATGATTCAGCACTCCTTGGATTTTTAGACAGTAATGAGATCATGTGCACACTCCACAGAGGTCCAGAGTCCAAATGTGACCTCTAGCACCAAACGCTTGCTGCAGCTGTTGGTGTCAGAGGTGACGCACAAGGTATCAGGTTTTCTGTGTGATTACTTTTTCATATAGGACCAAGTATGTTTGGATAGCGTTTTGCCCTTGAAAACTGCCGTTGAATATTAGACATTGTTGTCTAATGTTATAAATGTATTGATGTGAAAGGTGTAAGTGTGACAAATATGGAATAAGATAGGAAATGAGAAAGGAGGCAAATACTTGTTCACAGGGCTATAGTCTGTAAATGGTCTTCTTTTGGCTATAGTAGATCTTTTACTTGTTCCTTTTTTAATTGTTTGTTAAAATAGTTTTTTCGATCATATTGAGTATAGAGGAATGCAACTGTGAGCTTTAGCAATTATCCCGCTTCAACAGGACCGTGATCCCGATGTGTGAGACAGCAGGGTGCTGCCACTGGTGTTGTAATGTGTGATTTAGTTCCTCCTAACATTTCAGTTTTCTTCCAGTATCTATCCTCTGTGATTACTGGCTCTTTAGACAGATTTAATAGAAGTGTGTGAGCTATTGGCTCAGTATAAAGGGTCAGTAGTGTTTTCATGTCACCTATCCATCCTCCATTTAGTCACCCAAAGCATGTAGTAAATACTGCTCACTTTTATTCACCTTCTCTTAAATCCAGAAAAATTCCCACTTGTTAACGTTGAGTGTGTGTGTGTGTGTGTGTGTGTGTGTGTGTGTGTGTGTGTGTGTGTGTGTGTGCGTGTGTGCATGTGCGTGTGTGTGTGTGCGTGTGTGTGTGTGTGTGCCAGTTGCAGCCTCCAAGTTGAACACCATCACCAAATCCAACCTGGGTCAGTGTGTCAGCAAGTACGACCTGCTGGTCTGGTTTGAGATCAGCGAGCTGGAGCCCACTGGAGAGTGAGTATCCACCTGGAGTGTTATATTCACGCACAAGCTTTAAAGGAACCATAAAAATGATCTCCAGGAAGAATATTATAAGTTGGGATGTTGTGTCACCTCCTCCCTCCATGCACAGGTACATCCCAGCCATCGTGGATCACAGTGGAGGCCTGCCCTGTCATGGTACCTACCTGCTGCACCAGGTACAGGATTGGTGCACATGTTGTTTCCTTATTACTCACACAGTGGTAACTGCTTCCTTTGTACACAGTTGAATATCTTCTTTTAAAGCGTAATGTTGCTCTAGCTGTGCTCACTGTGATCCTGAGCTCCTGTTATGTTTGCTGCAGGGGATCCAGCGGAGGATCACAGTGACCCTCATCCACGAGAAAGGCAGCGAGCTCCATTGGAAAGATGTTCGTGAGCTGGTTGTAGGTGAGCAGCCTGCCTTTAGGGTCTAGTCGTGCTATACCTCTGTGTAGAAAACAAAACCCCAAAGCACCGAAACAATGTTTTATAGTGTTTGTGTGCTTTTGATAGAGGAAGACAGGACAGAACATCATTAAAGGGATTTGACTTTGTGAGATCACCCTGAAAACGCACCACTCGGTTCACTCTGAGATATTTTCAGTCTGGAAAGATGAATCTGTCGGGCTTCAGGCTGCTTCTCACTTTAAGCAGTTCATGCTGTAGCTGATGGACCAAAAATGACATTTGATATTTTAGACATTCAGCTGCTGACTCTGAAGCCAACAGGCTCTTGAGTGTGGATGATTGTGTTGGTACTGGATGCTGTGATCAAACAGCTGTTCTGATCTGTCTTCATTCATGCCTGTTGTTATTAAGCCTCCTAAGCTCCAAACCAGTAAAGCAATCTTTGGAGGCAACACCCTTTTTAGTACTTTGCTGTATTTGTTTGTGATTGTGTGACACTGAACCACAGTGCTATGTATATCCTCTGTAACACTCAGACGTTTCCAGATCAGTGTTTCCCCCTCAGCTGTTTCTCACTATAGAGTCTTTCCTCTGTAACAATGAGCACCAGCAGAGCATATCTGGCTCCCAGTCTGTGGCTGATAGTGCCCCCTGCTGTTAATAACAGGAACAGTGTAACCTTGTATGGAGCTCATAGTGATGGTCTGAAGATTGCTGCTGCAAGGCAGTAATTTGTATCCATGTGTGCTGTCTATTCTGAGCATATGCAGTTATGTGAGCTCTCAGGTTTTATGTATCAGGACATAATTAAAAACAATCAGGTCCTTAGTAGGTCTTAATATGAGGTAAATGCAACCTCAGATGAACAGCACAGAACACATTATACCAGGTCATTATTTATTTAACACACACTGAGCCGAAATTCAGATGTTTCAAAAACTAAGACATCCAAGACTATTTCCATAATTATTTAAGAGGGTCAGTATTAGTCAAGTGCTAATCAAGTGCACTAGATCATCAGTAAGTGTAACCACTACTGTCAGTTTGCTGGTGTGGCGTATTCAGGTAAGTGGTAACATACTGAGGAGGAGAGAAGCAGTTGTTGATACCCATGAATGTGGGAAGGCTTTGAAGTCGATCATTTTACAGCAAGAAAGATTATTCGCAAGTTAAAAAATCAAAGATTATCTTATATCTTATCTAACTATGAAGATGATGTTCTGGATAATCTCTACATGGACTTTGGTATGTGTTTTACTATAGAAGATGATCAGTAATCTGTCTCATTCTCAGGTTTTGCAGCTAAACTCATCTGATTATAACTAATTACAGATAATCTGGATGAACAGATGTTGACTGGATCCTCAACTCCTGAAAGCCACTGACAGGTCAAAATAAGTAAGCATATAAACATGAAGTGTTTGTGAGGTTCATCTGCAGCACCTTTGTCTCTGTGAAATGTTTGCTAATTTAACATTTTCCCTCCTAAACAGGAAGGAGTTTGTGGAGGCCTATGTGAATCATGCCTTCAACACATCAGTGGAGAATCTGTTCCAGGAGTTCAAGCGAGGCTTCTTCCTGGTGTGTGAGCAGGATTTGGTGAGGCTGTTTCGACCAGAGGAGCTGCAGGGAGTGCTGGTCGGCCAGGACGTGCATGACTGGGAAAAGTTCAAACAGGTACAGTCAGCCAAACAGACACAGGCTGTAGTTTCACAGCTGTCCTGTAGCACAATAACTGTGTACTGCATACTGTCAAAAGCATTCAGTCGGCTGCTTTAACACAAATATGAACTTGAGTCACATCTCAGTCTTAATCCAGACTTTTGTATGATAGTATAATATAATAGTCAGCCCACCCTTCGCAGCTATAACTGCTTCCACTCTTCTGGAAAAGCTTTCCACAAGGTTTAGGTGTGTTTATGGGAATTTTTTGACTATTCTTCCAGAGGTGCATTTGTGGTGTCAGACACTGACGTTGGAGGAGAAGGCCTGGCTCACAGTTGCTGCTCTAATTCATCCCAAAGATGTTCTATCAGGTTGAGGTCAGGACTCTGTGCAGGCTAGTCCAGTTCTTCTACACCAAACTCACTCATCCATGTCTTTATGGACCTTGTATTGTGCACTGGTGCCCAGCCATGTGCACACATGCCCACACTTTACACTTGGCACAGTGCAGTCAGACAAGTACTTCTGGCAACCACCAAACCCTGACACATCCATCGGATTGCCAGTCAGAGAAGTGTGATTCGTCACTCCAGTAAACACATCTCCACTGCTTTAGAGTCCAGTGTTGAGATGCTTAAATCACTCCATCTGACGCTTTGCATTGTGTTTGT